GAGAATGTCCTTGCATGTTGCATTAGTGACCGTGTGTATGTTGACCACTGGTAGACGCACATATGTGGTGTCAGTACATATTGTATGTAGACACGTACATAAGCGCTCACATACTGGTCTTGTGTTTCTGTGGTCCCGGGTTCGATCCCAGGCGCCGGCGAGAAACAATGGGCAGAGTTTCTTTCACCCTATGCCCCTGTTACCTAGCAGTAAAATAGGTACCTGGGTGTTAGTCAGCTGTCACGGGCTGCTTCCTGGGGGTGGAGGCCTGGTCGAGGACCGGGCCGCGGGGACACTAAAAAGCCCCGAAATCATCTCAAGATAACCTCAAGATGAGAAGATACTGTCAGGGGCCTTGTGACCTACCTATGTGTCCTGTGTTAGACCAGTCCTATGTGTCCTGTGTTAGACCAGTAACTAGGATATGTAGCCGCTGGGGCCACTTCCAGCTATTAAAACAACAAGCTAAGTTAGATTAGCTTCCTTGGTTTAATAAAGGATTTTGTAAAAGCACTTTACTATTATATCTACAGACAGACAGACAGGCACAGAGACAGACACACAGACAGACTGCAAGCGAGTGTGTACTCACCTAATTATGTTTGCGGGGGGTTGAGCTCTGGCTCTTTGGTCCCGCCTCTCAACCGTCAATCAACTGGTGTACAGGTTCCTGAGCCTACTGGGCTCTATCATATCTACACTTGAAACTGTGTATGGAGTCAGCCTCCACCACATCACTTCCTAATGCATTCCATTTGTCAACCACTCTGACACTAAAAAAGTTCTTTCTAATATCTCTGTGGCTCATTTGGGCACTCAGTTTCCACCTGTGTCCCCTAGTGCGTGTGCCCCTTGTGTTAAATAGCCTGTCTTTATCTACCCTATCAATTCCCTTGAGAATCTTTAATGTGGTGATCATGTCCCCCCCTAACTCTTCTGTCATCCAGTGTGTGTGGAGATTGTTTATAATAATTACGGATGATTATAGACAATAATTGTAGCTAGCCAAATGCTCTGATTATAGTTAACTAAATACATGTGATACATAACCGAAAGTTTGACCGCGCGGCTGTACTGTAATGCTGGATTGGTCTGATCAGCTGTAATTACAGATTACAGCAAAGTGGAACTGATTGTTGGAAGGGCAGCCAGGGTGATAAGAATGGTTTATTGCTTTAATTATAGTGGTGGGGAGTGAGTGAATGTGTGTGTGTGTGTGTGTGCGTGTGCGTGTGCGTGTGCGTGGGGGGGGGGGGTAGTTAGCGTGCGTGCGTGCGTGTGTGTGTGTGTGTGTGTGTGTGTGTGTGTGTGTGTGTGTGTGTGTGTGTGTGTGTGTGTGTGTGGTGCCCTTAGTGCGTGTGTTTTCTCACCTATGTATTTTTATAACACATGTAGGTACATATGCATGTGTGCAGCTGCTCTAGACTATAGACTATATGAAGGGGAGTACAGAGTGTGTCAAAAAAACTAGCTACGTGATGCTTAAAATGCCCCATCACAGAGGATGGTTAGTGATACAGGGTCATGCGACAAGCACTGACAAACTTTGGTTGCAATACTAGGAACTTGCTAATAGGAAAGATTAAGTCTAGGGACCAGCCCCTTCACTGTTGAATATCTATTAAGATATTACTCTACATTTCCCGCGACTCTTAACCCTTGCACTGCGCACCTGGTTTTTTTTTTGCCAAACATTTCATGCTGCAGTTTTTAAGGACATTCTTGTTTCAGTCCTCACACTGGTCCTGTGGGACCTGGCTGGTGGTCTCTGGTCACTCTCAGACGTGGTGCATCTCACACTGACCTTGTATTCACCTAGTTGTGCGTGTGGGGGGGTTGAGCTCTGGCTCTTTGGTCCCGCCTCTCAGCTGTCAATCAACAGGTGTACAGGTTCCTGAGCCTACTGGGCTCTTATCATGTCTACATTTGAAACTGTGTATGGAGTCAGCCTCCACCACATCACTGCCTAATGTATTCCATTTGTCAACTACTCTGACACTAAAAAAAAAATTCTAACGTCTCTGTGGCTCATTTGAGCGCTCAGTTTCCACCTGTGTCCCCTGGTGCGTGTGCCCCTTGTGTTAAATAGCCCGTCTTTATCTACCCTGTCAGTTCTATTGAGAAACTTGAATGTGGTGATCATGTCCCCCCCTAACTCTTCTGTCTTCCGCGAAGTACTCCCCTAATTGTACTCGCCTAATTGTGCTTGCGGGGGTTGAGCTCTGGCTCTTTGGTCCCGCCTCTCAACTGTCAGTCAACAGGTGTACAGGTTCCTGAGCCTATTGGGCTCTATCATATCTACACTTGAAACTGTGTGTGTGTGTGTATGTGTGTGTGTGTGTGTGTGTGTGTGTGTGTGTGGAGCAAGCGATCGATGCGACAGGTGCGTGGCAGGAAAGAGTTAGGGTGATAAATACAGAGAGACCAAAACGGATGCCTTTTTGCTGGTAATAAACACCCTTAGTGACTGGCGGATCTAATGCCTTAACACACTGTCTCCAGCACCTGTGGTAGCCACGGCTGATTCAGGCTATTGGTCGGCTCCTGCTCTGGTGGCTATTTAATTAGACTTTTGGTATACCAGCGCAGCTAAATGGATGTTTGAGGCACACACACACTCGCACACGCACACGCACACGCACATACACACACACACACACACACACACACACACGCACACGCACACGCACACGCACACACGCACACGCACAGACACATCTAGATATGATAGAGTTCGAGAAGTTCAGGAACCTGTACACCAGTTGAGAGGCGGGACCAAAGAGCCAAAGCTCAACCCCCACAAGCACAACTTGGTGAGTCACACGAGGGTACATGATATACATACGTATATACACGGTACATATATATACACGTCATATATACATATATGATACAATATACATATGTAAACTTTATACAAATGCATGTTAGACACATGATATACATCACACATACATACATATACGTGTATAAATATACACGACACACATATCCACATCTAAAAGTTCTAAGAGATCTGTTAAAATCAAATATCTAAAAATATTACTTGCCACCATAAGTATTAAATATTAGTATTGGTATGAAGTGTATGATAATACGTAGCTCTTCCTCGCTACGCATTCTCCTTTGTATATTTTAACACCAAAATGTATTTTTCTGACATTTTAGAAATAGTATATAGTTAAGATTTGTTGTTATCGTCGTGTATGCTAATGATGTATATGTTTCGTTTTTCCAGGGCATGGCAGCGAAGAGGAGAATGGAGACGAATGAAAAGAGAAAGAGAAGATAAGCTAATAAATGGGGGAACTAATTACGAGGAAAGCGGCGTTTGCTGTCAGTCTGTTACACAGTCACACACACTAATCCACGATTATTGACTTGTTGTGTCTATGTTGTAAGCCCGCACCTGACTACGATCTGTCTTCTGCTCCCAACTACGATCTGATTCCTGCTTCGAACTACGATCTGATTCCTGCTTCGAACTACGATCTGTCTTCTGCTCCGAACTACGATCTGTCTTCTGGTCCGAACTACGACCTGCCTCCTGCTTCGAACTACGACCTGATTCCTGTGTCTCACCACGACCTGGTTTTCCAGTTCCTGGCGACGACCTAGTTCCAGCTTTTCGGGGTCAAGAGCTGCTTGGGTAACAGGATCGGTTAAAGGACATAACCCATCTTAAGTATCCCAAAACTACCTCAGAAACCCCAAAGACATTCTGCTTGGTACAAGATTACACGATACCAACTGGATCGAACCCCTCTGTGATTACCTAACCTCGACAGCTGGCTACATAATCACAAAATACCATTAAACTATGGAAGGCTCAGAACCCATAGAATTGTTGAATCAAAACGATGGTTGCAGGCGATGAGTCACAATAACGTGGCTGAAGTATGTTGACCAGACCACACACTAGAAATTGAAGGGACGACGACGTTTCGGTCCGTCCTGGACCATTCTCAAGTCGATTGAAAAAAAAAAAAAAAAAAAAAACGATGGTTATTTCTTCGGCTTCAGGGCGAACGAGCACCGGAGAAACAGCCATAAGAATACACAACATATAAACAACATTGGTATGGCTAATTAGGACAATTTTCCCGTCACAAATTTCCCCTTTAGACACACCTGCAAGCATGGATATTCATTCCTCTAACTGAAAATCATCTTTAAGCTTGAAGATCAACTTGGTATGGATGATTCATCAACTGCAGGTCTGAAAGGATTATGTTTGTAACCGCGAAGCCTAGTCCTCTGTGGGGCAGAGGTGGTGACGGATAGGCAGTAATCATTTTCAGAATCCAGGCGAGTCTATTATTCAACGACCTTGAATTCCTGCCTGAAAATACACACACATGCTAAACTCCCACGAGATGAATCGGCTAATGTGTGTATGCGGCTTCGAACCAAGTTTCATTCAGGCTTCAGAGTTGAATGAATCAGTTTGTCGTGTTTCACTGAAGAAAACCCCCTAAAAAATGAATGAAAACAAAAGTCTATTCCTTTCACAAGAGGTAAATATACCAGCGTAGAGGGTGACGTGTCCGTATGATAAACATTAGCAGTTAACGTGGACATTTACAGCATCACGACCCCAGAACGAGAGCAGTTGACCACAAGGAAGAAAACGGATCAGCGCGACGTTTGCGTTGCTATGGTAACCCGCGTAAACAATCTCGGCACGTTCGTATGACTGACCGCTTGAGATAACAAAACTTTCAAAACAATAGATATCTCCCCAATAACACACCTCAGCGTTATCTCACAAATCAATATACCTATCCCACATGCATTACTCTGATCCACAGGAACGATTAAACATGTGACGGCTTCAGGTGTTTAAAAACAAGTGTGAAATTCTATTCCGCCGCCAAGGCCACATTTGGAACGCGAGAGAAGACAGGTGTTTGGGTGACCATGGCCAGTCTCACGCCTCTCCTCTTCACCAAACGCATGTGCCCGCCCGGCCGCGACCCGTCCCGGGACCCTGGAGTCAGCACACCCCTCCAGGTAACGCCATTCACCAACGCACTCCTTTAGTTGTACTACTGACAACATCTCACCATTGATCAAATTAGACATTGGACTCTGGATTTCATTTAAATGCACTCCGAAGCCTTTGTTTACATTGGAGATTGATGTCTCGTGAGGAACTTGGCCTTTGTGTGGGATGTTAGTTTGTCATGGTGTTATTTACAGGTGTTCTAGGCCATAGGCAGGTGTTGTAGGCCATAGGCAGGTGTTGTAAGCCATAGACAGGTGTTGTAGGCCGTAGATTGTAGGTCGTGATTGATGTCTCGTGAGGAACTTGGCCTTTGTGTGGGATGTTAGTTTGACATGGTGTTATTTACAGGTGTTGTAGGCCATAGCAGGTGTTCTAGGCCATAGACAGGTGTTGTTGGCCATAGACAACTGTGGCAGACTTAGCAGTTTCTAAGTGTACAATTAATTACTAGTCTGTGCCCCTTGTATTATCTCCGTTTTCTGTTACTGTTGTGATGTGTTTAATTAGTTACTTAAGTGCTCCTGGCAAGGTTAGGTTCGGGCAATTTAGTCCATCAGTTTAGCGACGTTGGGAGCGCTGGAGAGGACGGGCTGGTACACGTGTTGTACGTGGGTAGAGCGCTTATAGAAGTGGGATTCGAACACGGGAAGAGAGAAAAACACTAAACAATAAATGTTCGCATACAGTTAAATCATAACACATTATTTAATTTAATGAGATGACATGCTGGATTATGATGCATTTGGGTGTTATTGATAAGGACGGGGAGCAACCCATGCAATACTTTGCAACTAATTAGTGCATTGAGCACCAAAGTTTCAACTCCTTATCTAATACGTAGTAATTTCTTTACGGAATCGATCAATCCGTTAAAAAAGCGACGTATTTGTGTAATTAAAGCATCGTAGCAATGATGTCTTCTAAGCATCTGTGCTTCGATTGGTTAGTGGGGTTGTTAGGGCTGGTACGTTTATGGTTAAGAGAATAATTGCATTTTTAACTGGCTGGTGAATCGAGAATTAACAGACTGATTAACATGGCGTCAGAAAGCAAGCCGTTCTTAGACTAAGTTCTTTCCATCCAGCGGTCGACCCCAAAGACACATTCAACCACTTGAACATATTGTTCATTCCAGACAGTTAAGCAAGTCCCAGCTGTGTCTGGGTACATGTGACAGGATGAACAACCCAGCGGGTTTTCTTCCTATTGGGGAGTGTTGTACGTGCTGCTATGGCGGTGTGTCCACTCACAGGATGAGTGGCGCTGCCCAATACTGTCACTATGGCGGTGTGTCCACTCACAGGATGAGTGGCGCTGCCCAATACTGTCACTATGGCGGTGTGTCCACTCACAGGATGAGTGGCGCTGCCCAGTACTGTCACTATGGCGGTGTGTCCACTCACAGGATGAGTGGCGCTGCCCAATACTGTCACTATGGCGGTGTGTCCACTCACAGGATGAGTGGCGCTGCCCAATACTGTCACTATGGCGGTGTGTCCACTCACAGGATGAGTGACGCTGCCTAATACTGTCACTATGGCGGTGTGTCCACTCACAGGATGAGTGGCGCTGCCCAATACTGTCACTATGGCGGTGTGTCCACTCACAGGATGAGTGACGCTGCCTAATACTGTCACTATGGCGGTGTGTCCACTCACAGGATGAGTGGCGCTGCCCAATACTGTCACTATGGCGGTGTGTCCACTCACAGGATGAGTGGCGCTGCCCAATACTGTCACTATGGCGGTGTGTCCACTCACAGGATGAGTGACGCTGCCCAATACTGTCACTATGGCGGTGTGTCCACTCACAGGATGAGTGGCGCTGCCCAATACTGTCACTATGGCGGTGTGTCCACTCACAGGATGAGTGGCGCTGCCCAATACTGTCACTATGGCGGTGTGTCCACTCACAGGATGAGTGGCGCTGCCTTATAAACTTGCCCCTCGGGGCAAAATTAAAAAAAAAATATAGAAATTTTCTCTATCATGGATAGATCCCGGCAGAGGCGAAAACAAATGGGTAGAATTTCATTCACCCTGAAGGCCCTGTTCACCTAGCAGTAAATAGGAACCTGGGAGTTAAAGCTGCTACGAGCTGCTTCCTGGGGGGTGGGGGGGGGGAAACAGTTGATGAACAGTTAAGAGGCGGGCCCAAAGAGCCAGAGCTCAACCCCCGCAAGCACAACTAGGTGAGTACAGATGTTAGTGACAAAAGTCCAATTTAAGTCCAATTAATGGCAACTTGTGACTCGTCGCGAAGCATTGTCTTGGAATGATCTTGGGGACGTAATGGAAGATTGGCATCATGGGGTACCTCGGGTGCTGCAGGCGATGAGACACAATAACGTGGCTGACGTATGTTGACCAGACCACACACTAGAAGGTGAAGGGACGACGACGTTTCGGTCCGTCTTGGACCATTCACAAGTCGCTTGTGGTCAACTTAAGAATGCACAATCGACTTGAGAATGGTCTAGGACGGACCGAAACGTCGTCATTTTCTAGTGTGTGGTCTGGTAAACTTTCCTCGGATGTTGTTCAACCCCTGGGGAAGGCGGGGGGTTGTCGTTCAACCCCTGGGGAGGGCGGGGGGTTGTCGTTCAACCCCTGGGGAGGGCGGGGGGGTTGTTGTTCAACCCCTGGGGAGGGCGGGGGGTTGTCGTTCAACCCCTGGGGAAGGCGGGGGGTTGTCGTTCAACCCCTGGGAAGGGCGGGGGGTTGTCGTTCAACCCCTGGGGAGGGCGGGGGGTTGTCGTTCAACCCCTGGGAAGGGCGGGGGGTTGTCGTTCAACCCCTGGGGAGGGCGGGGGGGTTGTCGTTCAACCCCTGGGAAGGGCGGGGGGTTGTCGTTCAACCCCTGGGGAGGGCGGGGGGTTGTCGTTCAACCCCTGGGAAGGGCGGGGGGTTGTCGTTCAACCCCTGGGGAGGGCGGGGGGTTGTCGTTCAACCCCTGGGGAGGGCGGGGGGTTGTTGTTCAACCCCTGGGGAGGGCGGGGGGTTGTTGTTCAACCCCTGGGGAGGGCGGGGGGTTGTTGTTCAACCCCTGGGGAGGGCGGGGGGTTGTTGTTCAACCCCTGGGGAGGGCGGGGGGTTGTTGTTCAACCCCTGGGGAGGGCGGGGGGTTGTTGTTCAACCCCTGGGGAGGGCGGGGGGTTGTTGTTCAACCCCTGGGGAGGGCGGGGGGTTGTTGTTCAACCCCTGGGGAGGGCGGGGGGTTGTCGTTCAACCCCTGGGGAAGGCGGGGGGTTGTCGTTCAACCCCTGGGGAAGGCGGGGGGTTGTCGTTCAACCCCTGGGGAGGGCGGGGGGTTGTCGTTCAACCCCTGGGGAAGGCGGGGGGTTGTCGTTCAACCCCTGGGAAGGGCGGGGGGTTGTCGTTCAACCCCTGGGGAGGGCGGGGGGTTGTCGTTCAACCCCTGGGAAGGGGGTATGCATTGGTCCTGTTCTCCCCTCACCCCTGAAGTAGGGTCGACCTCCCCCACAGGATTTCCTAGAGTTGCTTTAGCCAATGACCCTTCGTCTCCCCTTTAATATATATCTTTATTAATCTCCCCTCCCATATAACTATGGCATGTTTCCCCTCTCCCTATAGACCCGTCTGTCTGTGCGTCAAGCGGTTAATCACAGCTATTAGCCTAATTTTCTTGATCACTGTCTCTTTTGATTAATAAACTTGAGCAAGGGTTCACAATGTGCCTCATGTTTCAACCCAAACTGAGATCTTATTGGTAATCTTCTGAAGTCTGTTCCTTGAGACGCGTTTAATGAGATTAATTTTTGTATCTAGATGCAGGCGAGGAGTCACAATAACGTGGCTAAAGTATGTTGACCAGACCACACACTAGAAGGTGAAGGGACGACGACGACGTTTCGGTCCGGCCTGGACCATTCTCAAGTCGATTGTACATTCTCAAGTCGACTTGAGAATGGTCCAGGACGGACCGAAACGTCGTCGTCCCTTCACTTTCTAGTGTGTGGTCTGGTCTACTCTTTGTATCTATTAGGAATAAAGCAAGTTTAATGAGAACTGTCATTTACGGAACAGGTTGGGCAAGGAGCCAGCTGTGTGTCGTAGTCTTCATGTGATTGGTTCACTTGATACGAGGTTATCTTGAGATGATTTCGGGGCTTTAGTGTCCCCGCGGCCCGGTCCTCGACCAGGCTTCCACCCCCAGGAAGCAGCCCGTGACAGCTGACTAACACCCAGGTACCTATTTTACTGCTAGGTAACAGGGGGCATAGGGTGAAAGAAACTTTTGCCTATTGTTTCTCGCCGGCGCCTGGCATCGAACCCAGGACCACAGGATCAAAAGTCCAGCGTGCTGTCCGCTCGGCCGACCGGCTCCCTACAAAAACTTGCTGTTTGGAGACGTTCCAGGGGGTCAGATTCACGAAGCAGTTACGCAAGCACTTACGAACCTGGGGTCAGATTCACGAAGCAGTTACGCAAGCACTTACGAACCTGTCCATCTTTTCTCAATCTTTGGCGGCTTTGTTTACAATTATTAAACAGTTAATGAGCTCCGAAGCACCAGGAGGCTGTTTATAACAATAACAACAGTTGATTGGCAAGTTTTCATGCTTGTAAACTGTTTAATAAATGTAACCAAAGCCGTCAAAGATTGAGAAAAGATGTACACGTTCGTAAGTGCTTGCGTAACTGCTTCGTGAGTCTGGGCCCCAGGTTCGAAAGTGCTTGCGTAACTGCTTCGTGAATCTGACCCCAGGTTCGTAAGTACTTGCGTAACTGCTTCGTGAATCTGACCCCAAGTTCGTAAGTACTTGCGTAACTGCTTCGTGAGTCTGACCCCAGGTTCGTAAGTACTTGCGTAACTGCTTCGTGAATCTGACCCCAGGTTCGTAAGTACTTGCGTAACTGCTTCGTGAATCTGGTCCCAGGTTCGTAAGTACTTGCGTAACTGCTTCGTGAATCTGGCCCCAGATGCCAGTCAGCACAGGAATTGAATAATCGCTGATGGAGCGATGTTCTGGATTGATTGATTGAATGATTGGTGAAGATTAAGCCACCAAAGAGGTGGCACGGGCATGAATAGCCCGTACAATGTTCCGGTGAAAGGAATATAAGGGAACATCTCGCCTCTTTAGCACCTTTACGGGCTCACCATAGCCCGTGCTACATGGACACTCCGTCCTGAATAGCTAAATCTTTAACAACAACAACAACAACTCTTTAGCATAACAGGTGATGGTTTAGTGTAGGTGTCTTTCCTAGCGTGCGTGCGTGCGTGCGTGCGTGCGTGTGTGCGTGCGTGCGTGCTGTGTACATCATTTGCGTGACTGTCCCTGCGTGGATAATGTTTTGCGTGGCCACATAGTCTGGATTATCAAAATTATAAAGAATATGCATTTATTTGATTAAGAATAACATGGGGGTTGCCAGCTCGTCGCTATCTGGCCTGGCTCGCCTAACACCTCTTCTCTGTCATGCTGTGAAGAATGAAGATGTAGAATTATCATACGTTCCTTGTAAGCGCGTTTGTTGGTCGATATAACCACGTATTGCTAATGTTTGCGCTTACCTAATTGTACATGCTGTTAAAGATTCGCTACTTGGAACAAACAGTTCCAAGTAGCACGGGCTATGGTGAGCCCGTAGATACTAATTGTACATGTGGGGGGTTGAGATGAGGTTAAACAGTTAGCATTAGTCTACCCAAGGAAGGAAACGCCCTTGGTATAAATTTTGGTATAAAGTAACTAACTTTATACCAAAATTATATAGTGCCAGGTGGTATTTTTTTTGTTCATTGAAACGGTAGATTTCTCGAGTCATGATTTACAGCGTCGCATATTGAATCAGGAACAAGATTAGGGTATGTTTTTAATAATGAACAAATCCACAAGGGCCGTGACGAGGATTCGAACCTGCGTCCGGGAGCATCCCAGACACTGCCAGGTTCGAATCCTCGTCATGGCCTTTGTGGATTTGTTCATTTGATGCATCACGTTATTGTGATCTGCGTGTGTACATTTTCTGTGCAAAATGTATCAAAATAAGACTTTTTTTATTCATAATATAGGACCATAATGTCGGTGGCTTCACATTGTACCATTTTGGTACCCCTTGTACCGCAGGGAAGGGGGGGGGGGAGGCAGAGGGAGGTGTTAGTGTGGTAGTTGGGTTGTTAGTAGTTAGGGGTGGTCGGTCGTTAGGGGTCATCATAGGTCACTCGCCTGACCTGTAACTTGTGACCAGACTTTACCTGCAGTGATCGCGTGTCCCGTCAGGACTGTGTAAACCTTCAAGCCTTGTTTATCACCAGTTAATTTTTTTTTTGTTTGGTTGCCGGACTGTCAATAATCTGAGACAGTCAACTGGGGGGGGGGGGAGACGAGGTCAGTCGACGGTGGCGGACAGGTCAGGTCAGTCGACGGGGTTGAGGAGAAGAGATTGGTCGCCAGACATGTTTGAGCGGACGAGATTGGTCGCCAGACATGTTTGAGCGGACGAGATTGGTCGCCAGACATGTTTGAGCGGACGAGATTGGTCGCCAGACATGTTTGAGCGGACGAGATTGGTCGCCAGACATGTTTGAGCGGACGAGATTGGTCGCCAGACATGTTTGCTGTCTGCCTGCAGTCATCTCAAGGCGGAGTTGGAACGGTCGTTTCGAATTTCGAACATCGTTTCGTTACTCCGAACAGCAGTGAACATTGTGCTCAAAACCCACCTGGGAGGAATTAATGTGTTGTTAGTGTTCGAATTATCTTCTTTCTAAAGGGGAAAACTGTGCGAAAGTTGTCGTGAAAGTGTTCGAAATATTTACAGAATGGTTCGGGTTCATTCTTGGACGTCTGGTGTACTAAACAAAGTTATTGAACATTATACATTCCTGAACATTTCGACTGTGATGTTTTGCGGCCGGCATCACGATTGGATAAAAATCATCCATTAAAGGCACTTGGGGTGGACGGTAGAGCGACGGTCTCGCTTCATGCAGGTCGGTGTTCAATCCCCCGACCGTCCATAAGTGGGTTGGGGCACCATTCCTTTCCCCCCGTCCCATCCCAAATCCTTTTCCTGAATCCTTCCCAGTGCCAATATAGTCTTAAGGCTTGGCGCTTTACCCTGATCGTTCTGCTCATCCTGGGCAGGTCGTGACGTCATCACCACGTCAGAGGCAGGTCGTGACGTCATCACTACGTCACGACTTTGTTTCGTACACATTTTAATTTCGTTTTTTCATGATTATTTCACGGTTTTCTTGAATGTTTCGTGTAAATTATACATGTTATATCTTGCGTATCATCCACCACACGCAAAATGGGAATTATATGACCAAAGAGTGCGGATAGTTCTATAATATATATATATATATATATATATATATATATATATATATATATATATATATATATATATATATATATATATATATATATATATATTAATATACGAAAGTACTTAAGGAAATTTCCTGTTTCATTTTTCCTCCGTGGTCTGACATTGTCACATTCTTAATCACGTGTTTATTTTCGTGATATACACATATATATATATATATATATATATATATATATATATATATATATATATATATATATAATACAAGCCAGTACCACACGAGCCGCCATAACCTGCACTATTCACTGTAACCCCGCATATAACACCAAACTTCCTACATTATACTTCATTGTTCCAAGAAATACAATCAGGGAATTGTACACAGTGACTCTGTGGACCAACTTAGGGCGAAGTTAGGGTAGTAACTTAAAGGTATTTGTAGGTTATGACCTATAAGGAAAGTGTAGACCTATTCTGGTATAGTGTATATGTATGGTAAGCTGTTGAAGTGATTAGGACAAGCTTGTATTGTAATTTGGGATGTGGTTATATGTGACTGTTTAAAGTTATGAATCCACTTTTGTTCGCTGCTACATGGACTGGACGGCAACTGACATATGTGGAGAGCTAGTGTCACAATTGATATGTTTGTCCTGCACACCGCCCCCCATCCAGTGGGCGGCGGTGGATAGGTTACAATCACTCAGTTACTACCTACAGTTAGCAAACTGGGGGATATTTGGCTAAAATTTCCCCCGTGACATAATATACAAAGGCTCGATGGATTGGTACAAATGATAGTCACCCGAGAGATTGGTTTTATATATAATAACTAATATTTAATAATTGTATTAATGTGTTTTGTATAAATAGGAACTGCTTCCCGTAGGCACAAATAATTATCAAAGAAGGCACCAAAACTGGAAGACTGTATAGCACCCTATGAGCACAAGCAGTTTCCTATATTGTTGTTGTTTTAGATTTAGCTACTCAGAACGAAATATCCATGTAGCACGGACTATGGTGATCCCGTAATTGAGTTGGGTTATTGGCGATAACTGTGTTACTGTAACATTTGGGTCAGAGTTTTTAAATGGAGGTGGGGATTCCTCCTTTTTCCCGGTTTCTTTTTCAATTCTGTTTTAGTGCACTGGTTTTAGTCTTGTTTTAATAACATTGTTGGTGTTAACTATATTCATATGATGTTAATATAGCATTGACTGTAGCGAGAGGTGTGTACACTCACCTAAATGTGCTTGCGGGGGGGGGGTTGAGCTTTGGCTCTTTGGTCCCGCCTCTCAACTGGTGTGTGTGTGTGTTCTGCTGCAGGTGATGTCCTCGGAGGACGGGGTCTCTGTGTCGTCTGTGGAACTGACTCTTCCCCACATCGCTCGCGAGGTTCTGAGACGGAAGGCCCTGGCCCATCTTCATCTTGAGGTGAGTAGTGTTAGTGTTGTTATGGGGGACCCCTGGTCGAGGACCGGGCCGCGGGGACGCTAAGTCCCGGAAATCATCTCAAGGTAACCTCAATAGTTCTGTATAGGAGGGTTACATTGATACACAATGGTACAATGGGTTACTCTGGTACATAATGGTACAATGGGTTACTCTGGTACATAATGGTGCAATTGGTTACTCTGGTGCATAATGGTACAATGGGTTTTGAGCCTGTAGTCCCCCCTTAAAATGCATTATAAATGTGCCTTTAAATATTTAGAGTAGTCTACGATCTAAGTATAAACATTTTCTTTCAAGAATTTAACAGAAAATGAACTTCCTTTTTTTGGGGTAAACTTGCATATATTTTATCATATAACAATTATAGTTTAAGGCGTGTTATTCAGAGTACATTTGAGATGATAGTACATTACAGTGAAGTAGATGGTAATTATGGTGTTAAATAGATTTGAAGTTTCGCAAAGAGTTTATCAGTATTAGAAAATTACGAAAGTGGAGGCTTCTTTTCAAGATTGACTGTATAGCTACCAAGGCGCCTTAGGAGTATACCGAGATGTAGCCCCTTCTCACAAGGTATATACAGTATACCCCGCTTCTTGGTGTGTATATACTGAGTTTACTCTAGTCCTGGATTATGTTCGTGTACCAGGGACCAGATTCACGAAGCAGTTACGCAAGCACTTACGAACCTGTCCATCTTTTCTCAATCTTTGGCGGCTTTGTTTACAATTATTAAACAGTTAATGAGCCCCGAAGCACCAGGAGGCTATTTATAACAATAACAACAGTTGAGTGGCAAGTTTTCATGCTTGTAAACTGTTCAATAAATGTAACCAAAGCCGTCAAAGATTGAGGAAAGATGTACACGTTCGTAAGTGCTTGCGTAACTGCTTCGTGAGTCTGGCCCCAGGTTCGTAAGTGCTTGCGTAACTGCTTCGTGAATCTAGATCCAGAGGTTGATAGGCCTCAAGCCCAACACTAAAGCCTAATACTTTTCGGTGTTGCTTCAGATAATTCCTTAAAACTCTCTTATAGGCCAAATATTGAATTTTGAAAGAAGTGGTATGGATTAATATTAACCTGAAGGCCACAATATATATCCAGTGGCCTCGGAGGGGACAGGAAGCTGGCGTCTCGTCAAAGGTCCCTCCATTGTTCACGAGGAATTTTCTAACTGGATTTTGAACTGAAGTAATGTCTAGGCATTTACGGCTTTGGCGGGTAGGCGGTTCCACGGGTTTAATTAGTTTTGTTGGAGATGGGAAGAGTGTGTGTCACCTTGTGTAAAAATATAATACTTCCTGGTATCTTTTTACTGTTAGGTGAACAGATGCATTTGATGAAAGAAAACGCCTAGCCTAAAATAAAGCCTAGAATAGAATATAAAAAGTTGAGAACATATAAGTAGAGAACAAAGTATAAGTAGAGAACATATATATGTAGAGAACAAAGTATATAAGTCAAGAACAAAGTATAAGTAGAGAACATATATACTTTGTTCTCTACTTATATATGTTCTCTACTTATACTTTGTTCTCTACTTATATATGTTCTCTACTTATACTTTGTTCTCTACTTATATATGTTCTCTACTTATACTTTGTTCTCTACTTATATATGTTCTCTACTTATACTTCGTTCTTGACTTATATACTTTGTTCTCTACTTATATAAGTAAAGAACAAAGTATAAGTAAAGAACAAAGTATAAGTAGAGAACATATATATTTAGAGAACAAAGAATATTTTGGATACTAGGAGAAGCAAAATATGTTCAGTAATGTAAAGGTTTCGACGAGGTCTTTAGGCTGTTCATTCAATAAGTCCAGTTTTATTTTTACATCATTCCGGCAGTAACCAACCACTTGGACTGGACGGTTTCATGCAGGTCGGCGTTCAATCCCCGAGCATCCAAGTGCTTGGGCACCATTCCTTCCCTCGATAATTCCTTCTCTCCTTTCATATTTCTTGTTATTAATATACTTAAATATTTCAATAGGTAGTAAATGTTAAAACAATAATATGTCCGTGATTAATATATATTTTGAAATGGAAGTAAAAAATAAAATTCTGATCACATGACCCTTCAACTCCTTATCTGTTTGGTGGAGATATATACAAGATGGTATCAGACATCTTACCCTTGAACCTGATCTATTACCAGGTGTGCTATATGATGGTATGATCCGTCAGGCTGTCAGTGCAGGCAGCTTAGAGGTATGCACTAAAGCCTAGCTGATCAAATGGTCTTGTAAACAAATTGTAGTTCCTGCTTGATCATATTAAACTATGATTGATTGATTGATGAAGATTAAGCCATCCAAGAGGTGGCACGGGCATGAATAGCCCGTAAGTGGTACAATTTTTTTTTCTCAGTATTCTGAGGTTGCATTTAACCATCAAGCTGTTATCGCGGGGGAGGATACTGCTTCACAGTCTTTATGAGGGTGTCCAGCTGCTGGACACTTAAACTATGTTAACACTGTACATTTTATACATTAATGAGGTGGAGAGTGAGAGTTTAAGTACAGGTTAAAGTTGGTGAGGATCGCTTTGTCGAATCATGTTCATGATTTGGGTAGAGTTGAAGTGGCACTTGTGATAGGCGCTGGCGCAGGCGGCGGTAGACCCGGACTGGTTGCCCAGGAAGGCGGCCAGTTGGAAGGGCATGACCGGACTGTTGATCTGGTCGGGGACGAGGCCGGGATGGTCGCCGAAGAGGGACATGAGCAGAGCCTCGTCAGGAGCCAGCTGTTGGACCGGAGTGGCTGCCAGTTCGCACACCACACGCAGACCACAGTTGGTCTTGGTGTCCAGAGTCTCCGCCGCCGAGAACAAGATGTCTATGGCGTTGACAGAGAAGTCCTCAGCGACTGGTTCCTCCTCGACGGTCGGGGCTGAGCGTCCGTATCGATATAAAGTCTTTTGGACAGTAGGCGTCACGACGACAGTAGGCCTTTTGAGAGTCGATTTAACCCCGACAACTTTACCGACGGCAGCTTTACCGACAAGTCCGGCTGTGCCTAGGAGAAGAGTGGTGCCGCCAACCACCTCAAGAACAGGCTTGGAGGCGATTGCTGTCAGTGCTAGTGCCTTTGTAGCCGCCGCTGCCGACACGGCCGCCGCTGCTGACGCTGCCGCTGCTGACGCTGCCGCCGTGGCAGCCGCTGCCGTCGCCGCCGCGGACCCCAGGAGAATAATTGGCGACGCCTCCTGCAGGACCACGGCCACCAGGGCGACGAGAAGCCATTTCTTCAGCTGCATGGTGCCTGTAGGAGAGACAATATATAGTTATGACACGTTCTGCCTTGTCGGCCGAGCGGACAGCACACTGGACTTGTGATCCTGTGGTCCTGGGTTCGATCCCAGGCGCCGGCGAGAAACAATGGGCATAGTTTTTTTCACCCTATGCCCCTGTTACCTAGCAGTAAAATAGGTACCTGGGTGTTAGTCAGCTGTCACGGGCTGCTTCCTGGGGGGTGGAGGCCTGGTTGAGGACCGGGCCGCGGGGACACTAAAGCCCCGAAATCATCTCAAGATAACCTCAAGAAGATTGTGTGCTACACCCGAATTATACATGACAATTTAAATGTGTGTGTTCATAATACCCTTCGAGTATTATTTCTATTAAAATAATATCTCTTGTCGGACTGACGATATTGACTGGTCTTCTGATATTATTGGTAATGTGAATTTTATTCTACGTTACTGTATTAATATTACTACAGCAGTGGTCGCTAATGTATTTATAATAATCACTTGCTCTACGGAGGTGCTGCTGCTGATGCAAGCTTTACAATTATCTAAAATCAAGCTGTCAAAAATGTATTTGTTAAAGATAGCAAATGTAGGAAATATATATAAATATATATATATATATATATATATATATATATATATATATATATATATATATATATATAATTATATATATATATATATATATATATATATATATATATATATAATTATAATATATATATATATATATATATATATATATATATATATATATATATATATATATATATTCCTGATTTTAAAATGATACTTGTGTATTCTTTAGCAATATATTTCCTTCAAAATGAATCTGTTTTGCCCTGCTCCAGTTCTAAGAATGTGCATCAAGTGGGGAAGAACAGTCGGTGACAAGGCGTCTCTTCCATGACAACAAACTTACTTGCACTCTGAAAGAAATCTGGGGGACAGGATGTCAGCGGCTGGACAGATGGACGGGTTGTGATGCCGTGGGAGAGGCCAAGACACCTTATATATACTAGTGGGGGGGGGGGGGTTGTGGGGAAGGGGAAAATGAGAAGTTGGCGTCCTCCGAAATCGGTGACCTTTTAGGCCGTGTACTAAAAGCTTGATGCTATTCTGCAAAACATATGTTGTTGTTAAAATGGATTTGTAGAATAAAGTAGTAATGTTTTTTATGCAGCATATGAGATCAGAGACGATGCCTGTGAGATCGGTTATCTTGAGGTTATCTTGAGATGATTTTGGGGCTTTAGTGTCCCCGCGGCCCGGTCCTCGACCAGGCCTCCTTTTTGTTACACAATCCCCAGGAAGCAGCCCGTAGCAGCTGTCTAACTCCCAGGGACTTATTTACTATTAGGTGAACAGGTGCATCAGGGTGAAAGAAACTCTGCTCATTTGCTTCCGTCTTCACCGGGGATCGAACTCGGAACCTCAGGACTAAGAGTCCAAAGCGCTGTCAACTCAGTTGTCAAGGGGGTAGAAATTCACCTCTGGGACGAACATTAGCGGTCGGGGATGGTTCGAATCCCCTCTGGACCGACATTGTGATGGGGGGGGGGGGGGGGGAGGTGGACCCCAGAGGGACAGATCTGGAAGTAGGGGGCTGACAGCTGAGTGGACAGCGCTTCGGACTCGTAGTCCTGAGGTTCCGGGTTCGATCCCCGGTGGAGGCGGAGACAAATGGGCAAAATGTTTCTTTCACCCTGATGCCTATGTTACCTAGCAGTAAATAAGTACCTGGGAGTTAGACAGCTGCTACGGGCTGCTTCCTGGGGGGGGGGGGATGTAACAAAAAGGCGGCCTAGTCGAGGACCGGGTCGCGGGGACGCTAAGCCCCGAAATCATCTCAAGATAACTAATGTCTAATAACATTAGACATTAATAACTAAGAAGATAACTAATCCCAAGATAACTAATGTCTTCGCTATATTTTTTTGAACCTTTGAGAAGGAGGCAAGATGGTGAATTCCATCACACATGGAATTAAAAATTAAAGTTGACCTATATATATATTTCATGTTTCCCAGTGTCAGGTTTAAATGAGGACATTAGGATTGGGAAAGGGAAGTGGAGAAACTTATTTTCCTCGAGCGCCGACGACCTTGGCTTTTTGCCCCGTCAAAAAACTGGGTTTGCACTACCGACCTCCAATATTTAGGGCCGGCGTAGCCCCCGGGGCGAGCCACTCATAGACGCGTGTCTGTGGAAGGTTGTAATTATTGTAACACAACATGGTGTACGTATGTCACTCCAGCACAAGACAAGTGTCCGTATGTCACTCCAGCACAAGACAAGTGTCCGTATGTCACTCCAGCACAAGACAAGTGTCCGTATGTCACTCTAGCACAACACAAGTGTCCGTATGTCACTCCAGCACAAGACAAGTGTCCGTATGTCACTCCAGCACAAGACAAGTGTCCGTATGTCACTCCAGCACAAGACAAGTGTCCGTATGTCACTCCAGCACAAGACAAGTGTCCGTATGTCACTCCAGCACAAGACAAGTGTCCGTATGTCACTCTAACACAACACAAGTGTCCGTATGTCACTCTAACACAACACAAGTGTCCGTATGTCACTCCAGCACAACACAAGTGTCCGACTGTCACTCTAGCACAACACAAGTGTCCGTATGTCACTCTAGCACAACACAAGTGTCCGTATGTCACTCTAGCACAACACAAGTGTCCGTATGTCACTCCAGCACAAGACAAGTGTACGTATGTCACTCCAGCACAACACAAGTGTCCGACTGTCACTCTAGCACAACACAAGTGTCCGTATGTCACTCTAACACAACACAAGTGTCCGTATGTCACTCTAGCACAACACAAGTGTCCGTATGTCACTCTAGCACAACACAAGTGTCCGTATGTCACTCCAGCACAACACAAGTGTCCGTATGTCACTCTAGCACAACACAAGTGTACGTATGTCACTCCAGCACAACACAAGTGTACGTATGTCACTCTAGCACAACACAAGTGTCCGTATGTCACTCCAGCACAACACAAGTGTCCGTATGTCACTCCAGCACAACACAAGTGTCCGTATGTCACTCCAGCACAACACAAGTGTCCGTATGTCACTCCAGCACAACACAAGTGTCCGTATGTCACTCCAGCACAACACAAGTGTCCGACTGTCACTCTAGCACAACACAAGTGTCCGTATGTCACTCTAACACAACACAAGTGTCCGTATGTCACTCTAGCACAACACAAGTGTCCGTATGTCACTCCAGCACAACACAAGTGTCCGTATGTCACTCCAGCACAACACAAGTGTCCGTATGTCACTCCAGCACAACACAAGTGTCCGTATGTCACTCCAGCACAACACAAGTGTCCGTATGTCACTCCAACACAACACAAGTGTCCGTATGTCACTCCAGCACAACACAAGTGTCCGTATGTCACTCTAGCACAACACAAGTGTCCGTATGTCACTCCAGCACAACACAAGTGTCCGTATGTCACTCCAGCACAACACAAGTGTCCGTATGTCACTCCAGCACAACACAAGTGTCCGTATGTCACTCCAACACAACACAAGTGTCCGTATGTCACTCCAGCACAACACAAGTGTCCGTATGTCACTCCAGCACAACACAAGTGTCCGTATGTCACTCCAGCACAACACAAGTGTCCGTATGTCACTCTAGCACAACACAAGTGTTCGTATGTCACTCCAGCACAACACAAGTGTCCGTATGTCACTCCAGCACAACACAAGTGTACGTATGTCACTCTAGCACAACACAAGTGTTCGTGGTTGTGTTGCATATTTATTTCCGATTTATTCGGCCTAATTTCAAATATTTTTGTTCAAAATTTTGATATCGTTGATAATCTCACCAGAGGCAGCATTAAATATGGCGATTAAGGTTACAAGCTCAAAAGCAAGAAATATCTGAAATTAAATATTTGTTCATATTATTCCCTATTCTTGTCTTGGCTCAGTCTACGTCCAACCACTTGGGCTGGACGGTAGAGCGACGGTCTCGCTTCTTGCAGGCCGGCGTTCAATCCCCGACCGTCCACAAGTGGTTGGGGCACCATTCCGTCCCGCCGTCCCATCCTTATCCTGACCTCTTTTCCCAGTGCTATATAGTCGTACCGGCTTGGCGCTTTCTCCTGATCTCTTCCCTTCCCATTAGTCTTGGTCACTCAGCTTCAGCATCCAAAACTCTGAATGTTATTTGATAATTTTGGGTCCAATATTTATATAAATTTTTGTTATTTCCTTCAAAATATCTCCACAGGAAGCTTTAGAAATGCTGATTTAAGGTGCAAGATAAAAAAAAATTCTGAAATGAATAATTTTTTGTTAATCCTTTCAAAACCCACCAAACGCCCTTCAAAACCCACCAAACGCCCTTCAAAACCCACCAAACGCCCTTCAAAACCCACCAAACGCCCTTCAAAACCTACCAAACGCCCTTCAAAACCTACCAAACGCCCTTCAAAACCCTACCAAACGCCCTTCAAAACCCACCAAACGCCCTTCAAAACCTACCAAACGCCCTTCAAAACCTACCAAATTCCCTTCAAAACCCACCAAATTCACTTCAAAACCCACCAAATTCACTTCAAAACCTACCAAATTCACTTCAAAACCTACCAAACGCCCTTCAAAACCCACCAAACGCCCTTCAAAACCCTACCAAACGCCCTTCAAAACCTACCAAACGCCCTTCAAAACCCTACCAAACGCCCTTCAAAACCCTACCAAACGCCCTTTAAAACCTACCAAACGCCCTTCAAAACCCTACCAAACGCCCTTCAAAACCCTACCAAACGCCCTTTAAAACCTACCAAACGCCCTTCAAAACCCTACCAAACGCCCTTCAAAACCCTACCAAACGCCCTTCAAAACCCTACCAAACGCCCTTCAAAACCCTACCAAACGCTCTTCAAAACCCACCAAACGCCCTTCAAAACCCTACCAAACGCCCTTCAAAACCCTACCAAACACCCTTCAAAACCCTACCAAACACCCTTCAAAACCCTACCAAACGCCCTTCAAAACCCTACCAAACGCCCTTCAAAACCCTACCAAACGCCCTTCAAAACCCTACCAAACGCCCTTCAAAACCCTACCAAACGCCCTTCAAAACCCTACCACACGCCCTTCAAAACCCACCAAACGCCCTTCAAAACCCTACCAAACGCCCTTCAAAACCCTACCAAACGCCCTTCAAAACCCTACCAAACGCCCTTCAAAACCTACCAAACGCCCTTCGAAACCCACCAAACGCCCTTCGAAACCCACCAAACGCCCTTCAAAACCTACCAAACGCCCTTCAAAACCCTACCAAACGCCCTTCAAAACCCTACCAAACGCCCTTCAAAACCCTACCAAACGCCCTTCAAAACCCTACCAAACGCCCTTCAAAACCCTACCAAACGCCCTTCAAAACCCTACCAAACGCCCTTCAAAACCTACCAAACGCCCTTCGAAACCCACCAAACGCCCTTCAAAACCTACCAAACGCCCTTCGAAACCCACCAAACGCCCTTCAAAACCTACCAAACGCCCTTCAAAACCCTACCAAACGCCCTTCGAAACCAACCAAACGCCCTTCAAAACCTACCAAACGCCCTTCAAAACCTACCAAACGCCCTTCAAAACCTACCAAACGCCCTTCAAAACCCTACCAAACGCCCTTCGAAACCCACCAAACGCCCTTCAAAACCTACCAAACGCCCTTCGAAACCCACCAAACGCCCTTCAAAACCTACCAAACGCCCTTCAAAACCTACCAAACGCCCTTCAAAACCTACCAAACGCCCTTCGAAACCTACCAAACGCCCTTCAAAACCCACCAAACGCCCAAGAAAAAACTACAATTCAAGTAATGTACAAATATCTTCAGTTTTCCTTACCAATAACACCTCAGGAGTATTCACTAAATGTGTGTAATATGGACGGAATTATACGATGATCTGCACAAATTTGTCGAAGTTTGGTACATAACGCAGAATGGCGTAATAATAACGAATTCTCAATCGACTTGAGAATGGTCCAGGACGGACCGAAACGTCGTCGTCCCTTCACCTTCTTGTGTGTGGTCTGGTCAACATTCTTCAGCCACGTTATTGTGACTCATCGCCTGCATATTAGAACGCTATTCCAGTCAGTTGCTGTACAGTGAAGTGTTCAGTGATAGACCATTTTTTTCTCAGTTTGAACAGAATTAACTTCTGTTAAAGTTTGAGTCGGGAAAGTCCTGGGGTAAATACTGGTCAGGATATATCGTTGTTAATTTAAGGAAGAAATTATCCGTTAATATGACAGACGTGACATTTCTAGATTGTGTTAACGGTACAGCGGGCTCTGTTCTCGATTCACAAATGGGGGATCCCGGGTTAGATTCCCGGGCGTTGCAGAAATGATTGGGCATGCTTCTATTCACCTAATGCAGTAAATAGGTACCCGGAAGTTAGTCAACTGTTATATGGCATTGCATCCTAGGGTGGGTCAGTAGTTCGATGTGAGGGGGCGAGTCCCCCTATACAAGCCTAAAGTATATATGTACACAGGCTTCCTGTCCCCAACAACGGGAGGTGTTATATAAATGAGTTTGGGTGGATATAATATATGTAAGAGCTGGCTCGTATTAATCTTCTCTAATGGCTTTTATTTTTGTGTTCTTATGTTTCTTCCAAAGATTGCTACTCCATTCCCTTCTCAACCTTACTTTCTCAAAGGAAATGTAACTGGAGAAATGAGGCTAATAATAAAGTTTGCATCATCTAAGTCGACATTTTCCCTCGAGAACCATGTCATCATAATTGTAAACAAGATGACTTCTTGGTTGGCCTGAATACTGGCCACAGTGCTGAGATATCCTACCACACCTGTTTAAAGACCACACCTGCTCAGCGACCACATTAGGTAACCTCGTACAGTCTTCCAACTCTTAATCCAATGTCCGACTTTTGAGGATGATGGGGAACTATGCATCCTACTGCCTCCAATCCTTGGTAATAACTGGCATTTAGGACTGAGTGGCCCTACGTCCTGGTCTCATATCCATATTTCAACAACTATTTAATCCCTTTGAGTGAAATACTGAGTGCTGTAGTTACACTGACTTAGCACATTACCTTGATAATGACTAAATATTCTCGTAAATTCATCACGGGTTGAAAAGTAAGACGAATAATATGATTAATATGTATTTGGTAATCGACGTGCGGTGATGACATGACCCTTTATTCCGGGGCCTGTTAAATGGTTCACATACAAGATACCAGACAGCTTTCCCTGTACAGTGGTCTCTGACTAGCTCTAACTGGGGGCATGATCCATCAAGCTGTTTGTGCAGGCAGTTCTATATCTTCGCTATGCACTGCAGCTTAGCTGATCATGGGGTTTGTGGGGGGAAACTGTTTAGTTTTGATAGGGAAACAGTTCATTAAATCTCCTTATAAATGGGGGGTTTTGATAACCGTTTTCCCTGAAACTGCTTGATAATTTAAGCCGGGTGTTAATGATACAAATATTATGCATACATGAGGTAAGTAGTGTTAAGAGTTAAAGTACAAGTTAGACCTGGTCAGGATCGCTTTGTCGAATCATGTTCATGATTTGGGTAGAGTTGAAGTGGCACTTGTGGTAGGCGCTGGCGCAGGCGGCGGTAGACCCGGACTGGTTGCCCAGGAAGGCGGCCAGTTGGAAGGGCATGACCGGACTGTTGATCTGGTCGGGGACGAGGCCGGGATGGTCGCCGAAGAGGGACATGAGCAGAGCCTCGTCAGGAGCCAGCTGTTGGACCGGAGTGGCTGCCAGTTCGCACACCACACGCAGACCACAGTTGGTCTTGTTGTCCAGAGTCTCCGCCGCCGAGAACAAGATGTTAAGAGTGTTGGTTGAGACGTCGTCCTCGACTACAGACGGCGCTTCACGGGTTCTTCGGTAGGAAATAGTTTTCTGGATGGTTCCATATGGCGCAGATGTCACTACGACCACTGGTGTTGCGGCAGCGCCTATCAGCGCAGCTTTCCCGACGGCGGCTTTACCGACAAGTCCAGCTGTGCCCAGGAGGACAGCTGTGCCGCCGATTACTTCAAGAACAGGTGCGGTGGCTGCTAGTCCGAAAGTCAGGGCCTTTGCGGCAGCCGCCGCCGATACAGCCGCAGCTGTCCCCGCTACAACCGCAGCCGTACCCGCTGCCGCAGCCGCTCCCGCTGCCGCAGTCAACAGAATAAAGGGTGAAGCCTCCTTCACAATCACAGCCACCAGGGCAATAAGGAGCCATTTCTTCAGCTGCATGATGCCTGTAGGAGATGGAAATACATGTGAAATAAATGTATAGTGAATGATATAGAGAGAGCCCCCACCCCTATACACTAACCAAGATGTATAAGGGGGCTGCCAGAGAGAAAGAAATATATAGTGAATGTCAGGTATACTACCCTAGGTGTATGGTGGCTGCCGTTGTGATATGTTAATGTGCGGAGAGATATGGTGCCTCGAGGGATATGTTGGGATGACAGTCTGGTAAAGTTATGCTGGTGACTGGTCGACCACCGCCCTCACACTCACCTAGAATCAACCACACAAAAACTCTCGTCAGATAAATTCAACAATTAATTCAACGGCCTATCTTCATTATCAATGATTCGTTGTTGTATAACCACATTACTATTTCATTATTCACCCATTGATAACAAACCGAGAGTAGAATATTACGGAATGGATGCTTTGATGCTTTTAAACTTCATAAAATAGATTGGGCGCGCCAATCTAGGTACTAATGAACTATCGATTCTAACACAATTAAGCGTATTTGAGCTTTGTAGCCTAAGGAAAGTGACCCCAATCATCTTGAGGTTATCTTGAGATGATTTCGGGGCTTTTAGTGTCCCCGCGGCCCGGTCCTCGACCAGGCCTCCACCCCCAGGAAGACTAACACCCAGGTACCTATTTTACTGCTAGGTAACAGGGGCATAGGGTGAAAGAAACTCTGCCCATTGTTTCTCGTCGGCGCCTGGGATCGAACCCAGGACCACAGGATCACAAGTCCAGCGTGCTGTCCGCTCGGCCGACCGGCTCAGAATCATAGTCTGTTATCATTGTGGCTTGTTGATACAGGCATCTGATGGAGGTTCTCTCTCTCTGTCTCTTCCTGTACCTTGCCTTACCTTGAGGTTACCTTGAGGTGCTTCCGGGGCTTAGCGTCCCCGCGGCCTGTCGTCGACCAGGTCTCCTGGTTGCTGGACTGATCAACCAGGCTGTTGGACGCGGCTGCTCTCAGCCTGACGTATGAGTCACAGCCTGGTTGATCAGGTATCCTTTGTACACTCAAGAAATCAAACTAGGTGCAATAGACACATCACTGGTAGATTCGAGTTATTCTTAAGAAAGGTAAACCTATTCTTAGCAAGCTAGAGAGAGAGAGAGAGAGAGAGAGAGAGAGAGAGAGAGATCTGCAGTTTCATCAGGCTAACCTTATGCCATTAGTACTGTATGACAGTTTAGCTAGTTTAGTTCATTTATTGTGCACCCCATACCCATCTTGTGGGCGGTATTGGAAAGGGTTCAGAGAGAGAGAGCGAGATAAAGCTGGAGATATATAGAGAGATACAGATACAGAAAGAGAGCTAAAGGTATACAGGAAGATACTCCTAGAGAGAGATAGAGATACAGAGACAGAGATACATATAGATATGGAAATAGACATAAAGATATAGAGAGATACTCAACACATTATCCTAGACACCTTGGTGGCCATGAGCCGTTGGATATGGTCTAAAAAAAGATAATTAAAGACATATTAAAGATAATAGAGATCCTACTCATTAACAACGGGGGTTACATTTGTAAATCTTCGATTGGTAATTAACAATAATGCAGTTAATTCACTAGATTTGACGTATTTACAGATAAATAGAGATTACAGCCTAATAAATTAGCACGAACATATTTCAGAATTTTTTGTAGTGATTCAGAATGTGTTAGACAATGTAATGTTCTTGAATCTTTCATATACATCTTTAAGTTTCAATACAAATTTCAATTTCAATAGTTATCTCTTATCTTCAGAAGATAAGATAAGGCTTGGCGCTTTTTCCCCTGATAATTCCCTCCCTCTTCCTTCAGAACATTAGGCTTGAAGTATTAGGCTATAAAAAGGCTATATTAGGCTATAAAAAGGCTATATTAGGCTATAAAAAGGCTATATTAGGCTATAAAAAAGGCTATATTAGGCTATGAAAAGGCTATATTAGGCTATAAAAAGGCTATATTAGGCTATAAAAAGGCTATATTAGGCTATATAAGGCTTGAAGTATAAAAACACGTTCAATACACGTAGTTCAATTTATGAAAAAAAACATAATGTCGCCTGACAGCTGAGTGGACAGCGCTTCGGATTCGTAGTCCTGAGGTTCCGGGTTCGATCCCCGGTGGAGGCGGAGGCAAATAGGCAAAATGTGTTTCATCCTAATGCCCCCTGTTACCTATTAGTAAATAGGTACCTGGGAGTTAGACAGCTGCTACGGGCTGCTTTCTGGGGGTGCAGTCCTGGTCGAGGACCGGGCCGTGGGGACGCTAAGCCCCGAAATCATCTCAAGATAACCTCAAGATTGTTTACAACCATAAAAATGGTTGTGCCGTTAACCCAGCCACGTTCTTCTCGGTTATAAACGTGCATTGTGGGAATTTTTTTTTAATGTGTGTCAGCTCAGGAGTCATATAGGCCACGATAGGCCTATGTGGCACGCCTAGCACGCCCCCACAGTGGGGCGGGGCACGCGTCAGGTCATATCTGCAGCACTGGTTCTGTTTTAGCTCAACTCCAAATGTTCACCAGACGCGACCAACAGTTACCAATACACAAGACGAACTGCGACGCATTTAGCACCTCTCTTCTGTAGCATCAATAGTTTCCTTGATCATTTAAACACGTCTATGTACTAATACTCGAACACAAGACTTCAATTGATCGATTTCGACTTTTCCAGCACCAAAGGGAATCTACATTTGAAGGTAGAATACGAGGAGTGACTAATTATTAAGTAGATTAGGTCCCTTGCAACAAACTTACTTGCACTCTGAAAGAAATCTGAGGGACAGGAAGTCAGCGGCTGGACAGATGAACGGGTTGTGATGCCATGGGAGGGGTCGAGACGCCTTATATACTGGGAGAGGGGGGTTGCCGACAGGTGGGAAAGGTGGTATTCCTGCGCTGGGGGACTAGAGGGAGGGGGGGATGGGGTAGAGGGGGTGGGGCGGAAAGATCGTGTGGTGGGGGTACTGGGTACGTGGGGACGTGGGTAGCCAGTTTGGCTTACATGATGGCAGGAGGAAGTTGTCCTCGGCAAGGTCACTCTCTCTCTCTCTACGTAAACATGGGCGAGCGTCCAACACACACACACACACACACACACACACACACACACAGTGGTGGAGGCTGACTCCATACACAGTTTCAAGTGTAGATATGATAGAGCCCAGTAGGCTCAGAAACCTGTACACCAGTTGATTGATGGTTGAGAGGCGGGACCAAAGAGCTAGAGCTCAACCCCCGCAAGCACAAATAGATGAGTACATACTCACACACATGCGAACACAACCAAGGATGGATTGTTTAATTAACACGGGTGGTACACGCACAAGGGGACACAGGTGGAAGCTGAGTACCCCCAAATGAGCCACAGGGACGTTAGAAAGAACTTTTCCAGTGTCAGAGTAGTTAACAGATGGAATGCATTAGGCAGTGATGTGGTGGAGGCTGACTCCATACACAGTTTGAAGTGTAGATATGATAGAGCCCAATAGGCTCAGGAACCTGTACACCAGTTGATTGACAGTTGAGAGGCGGGACCAAAGAGCCAGAGCTCAACCCCCGCAAGCACAACTAGGTGAGTATATACACACACACACTCACGCACAGTGTGGTAGACGGAACAAGCTAAGTGAGATGACGGTCGAGGCCAAGACCGTCAGTAGTTTCAAAGCGTTATATGACAAAGAGTGCTGGGAAGACGGGACACCACGAGCGTAGCTCTCATCCTGTAACTACACTTAGGTAATTACATGCACACATACAATAACATATAATTCTAAATAAAACTAACAAAATAAACAAACCATATTCTGATGAAGCAATAGAACACACAGAACAACCTTTGTGTAATTATCTGATTACATTTTTGTAATCAACTAAAATTATTGACCTAAGAAGCCACAAGGTAGACGCAAGTTGTCTATTATTCAAATGTACGAGGCTGAGGGAGTGTGTACTCACCTATTTGTGCTTGTGGGGGTTGAGCTTTGGCTCTTTGGTCCCGCCTCTCAACTGTCAATCAACTGGTGTACAGGTTCCTGAGCCTACTGGGCTCTATCATATCTACATTTAAAACTGTGTATGGAGTCAGCCTCCACCACATCACTGCCTAATGCATTCCATCCGTTAACTACTCTGACACTAAAAAAGTTCCTTCTAACGTCTCTGTGGCTCATGTGTGTGTGGGGGGGGGGGGGGGGGAGACATTTCACCACCTTTGCAGAGATCATCGGTGATTGATCTGTAAATTGTAAAATAAAATCTTTACCTCAGTAGATGCCAGAAGTGTAGATGAGGGAAGTAGACTAACACAAAAGGTAGATGACTGAAATTCATACGAACCTGGTATACAAAGAGAGGAATTGAAGGTGTATAGGTGAGAGAAGAGTTTAAGAAACGTTATGAGAGAGAGAGAAAAAACTGATATTTTGTGTAATGAAAGTAAAAAATGAAAGATATGAGATGAGGAAGAAAATGAATGCAAAAGATAACATACAGAAAGTATTAGTGTGATCCTGTGGTCCTGGGTTCGATCCCAGGCGCCGGCGAGAAACAATGGGCAGAGTTTCTTTCACCCTATGCCCCTGTTACCTAGCAGTAAAATAGGTACCTGAGTGTTAGTCAGCTGTCACGGGCTGCTTCCTGGGGGTGGAGGCCTGGTCGAGGACCGGGCCGCGGGGACACTAAAGCCCCGAAATCATCTCAAGATAACTTCAAGAACCGAATATAATTAATACAGTAAAAACAAGAAACTCAAATAATATCATATATCATATATATAACATATATCGTTTGATAATATCAAACGAAGAACTTATACAATTATAAACATTAAAGAAAACGAAGTTAATGCAGATTTCAAAGTAGCAAAACTTGAATTACAATTAAAGTGATTAATAATAAAAATAAAAATCCTCGAATAGTCGAAATTCTGCCAAACAGAAACGGAAGAACAATTAAGAGTTGGTGGTGGTGAAGATATATGAGGACGGAGGGCAGGAACCGGGGGCCAACCACTTGCACCATCGGGGATCGAACGCAGACTTGCAATAAGCGAGGTCGTCGCTGAACCGACCAGTCCATGGCCTACCAGGAGCTGGTTAACCAGACTATGACCCATAGTTGATGGCCAGAACCAAGTCAAGGGTCACAGAGGCCATTGTGTGGTACTCGTTCGATACTCAAATATAAAATTTCTTGTATATTTCGACCCTCTGACTAATATATTATTTACACCCTAATAGAATAACACTTTTTTGTGATATTTTTCCATCGGGAGTTGAGTAGGAATATCGATATCTTCCTTGTGTTGTGTGTGTTATCATGACGGAATCTGTCTTCAGTTTATTAGACAGGTGGTGGACTGTATTCCCCTAGTTGTGCTTGCGGGGGTTGAGCTCTGGCTCATTGGTCCCGCCTCTCAACTGTCAATCAACTGGTGTACAGGTTCCTGAGTCTATTGGGCTCTATCATATCTACATTTGAAACTGTGTATGGAGTCAGCCTCCACCACATCACTGCCTAATGCATTCCATTTACTAACTACTGACACTGAAAACATCTTTCTAATGTCTCTATGGCTCATTTGGGCACTGTTTGTTGCCCTGAATGCCAGTGGTGGAGGGTGGTGGTCCTCAGTGCCAGTGGTGGAGGGTGGTGGCCGTCCTCAGTGCCAGTGGTGGTCAGTGCATCATTAATTTACCAAGACACGAAGGTCTGCTGCATTATTGGTGCAAGTTATCATGAAGCTTACGTCTTGCATAACAATAACTGCAACCCGCGCACCAACATCATTTTCTTCTTCCTCTCGTCCTCGACTCAAGTCCATTCCATCCAGCGGTCGACCCCACAGACGCATTCGTCAATTTTAACATGCTGTTCATTGAAAACGGGAATTTTCTGAAATATAAATTAATATTATAATAGCATATTGTGCATGTATATGCATAGGTTAGGTGTTTAGGTTCTGTTGGCGATTATTTGTAGTACGTGGGTGAAGCATTGATAGCGTTGTGACTCGAACATAAGTCGTCAGTGAAGCACTTGTTCCGGAAGTGTTCGAACGTCATCAGTTGTGAGTTGTGTGTAAACCGTTTTTCATTCATAAACAGCGGGGGGTTTGGCCGGTGGATGGAATCACTTTTGGGTCTTTGTTTGGAGGACGGGCTGGCGTCAAGTATGTGTCAGAAGCAGTTACGCAAGCACTTACGAACCTGTCCATCTTTTCTCAATCTTTGGCGGCTTTGTTTACAATTATTAAACGGTTAATGAGCTCGGAAGCACCAGGAGGCTGTTTATAACAATAACAACAGTTGATTGGCAAGTTTTCATGCTTGTAAACTGTTTAATAAATGTTACCAAAGCCGTCAAAGATTGAGGAAAGATGGACACGTTCGTAAGTGCTTGCGTGAATCTGGCCCCTTGTGTTTTACAAGGTCGGCGTTCGATCCCCGACGTTGCAAGTTGTTGGACAGCATTTACTTATTGTCCTCGTATCCCAGCTCACTTGTTTGGCGCCTTCTCATCATAATTGATCTTATTAAATTTCTTTATTTCATTCTAATGATTTTACACAATGAAAGCACTTTCATTTCGTGTTCCACACTTCTTGAGGTTATCTTGAGATGATTTCGGGGCTTTAGTGTCCCCGCGGCCCGGTCCTCGACCAGGCCTCCACCCCCAGGAAGCAGCCCGTGACAGCTGACTAACACCCAGGTACCTATTTTACTGCTAGGTAACAGGAGCATAGGGTGAAAGAAACTCTGCCCATTGTTTCACGCCGGCGCCTGGGATCGACCCCGGGACCACAGGATCACAAGTCCAGCGTGCTGTCCGCTCGGCCGACCGGCACTTAGGTTTACGACACAGTTCAAAGGGTTTAACAGGGCTGAAAGAGACGGAAATAAACAGGAGGGGAAGGAGGTGAGAGAGGGGGGGGGGGAAGTAATTAAGAGCGACTAAGAAAGATGACAAACACGCTTTCAAACAATTATGTAATCATTAAAGATCTTTGAATGGTAAGATCGAGCCGAGATAGAGCGTTGGAGGTCAACCCTCCCCCCTTGTTCACCTTAATGAGAAGCGTTCCTCGTTCGTCTGTAATGTGGGGTCAGTGTAGCGGGGGTCTGAAGCCCCACCGGTGTTGGGGGGTCCGGTGTAGGTGTGGAGGGGTCCGGTGTAGGTGTGGAGGGGTCCGGTGTAGGTGTGGAGGGGTCCGGTGTAGGTGTGGAGGGGTCCTGTTTAGGTGTGGAGGGGTCCGGTTTAGGTGTGGAGGGGTCCGGTTTAGGTGTGGAGGGGTCCGGTACAGGTGTGGAGGGGTCCGGTACAGGTGTGGAGGGGTCCGGTACAGGTGTGGAGGGGTCCGGTTTAGGACTCCCACAGGTATAGGTGTCCGGTTTGGTTATCCACTGTGGGGTGTAGCATTTTATTATTTTCTTTCACTGTTAGGTAAGTACACCCCACCTCCCCCCCCCCCCCGGGGTGTCATGTGGGGTGTTGAAGACCTCACATGGACCCCAAACCCCCACCCCAACCCCCACCCACGGCAACGAAAGGGGTGGAGGTGTTGTGGCCAGATGGTCCTGTTATGTAGACTCTTTATGCCCACAAATCACCTAGGTCCAGGAGCCTGTACACCAGTTAAGAGGCGGAACCAAAGATCCGAAGCTCAACCCCCCGCAAACACAACTAGGTGAAGGGAATGGTCAGGAGAAAGCACCAAGCCATTACGACTATATAGCACTGGGAAGGGGTCAGGATAAGGATTTGGGATGGGACGGGGGAAAGGAATGGTCCTCAACCACTTATGGACGGTCGGGGATTGAACCTCGGGGATTGGCAAGGTGACTGTAGAACCACTGGTGTCCAACGCCACATTCAGTCCTG